AGAACATGGCTCACTGCATCCTCCACCTCCCAGGTTCAAGTGATTCTCGTGCCTCAGCTTCCCGAGTAGCTGGGACCATAGACATGTGCCACCATGCCCAGCTAATTTTGTGGTTTTTTTTTTTTAGCAGAGACGGGGTTTTGCCATGTTGGCCAGGCCTCCCAAAGTGCTGGGATTACACTTACCACAGGGTGTAAATGGATCAAAGTGACTTGAATAGTGAGCAGGCCCAGTGGCTTGAAGGGAGGCTCTGTTCACAGGGAGCTAACAAGTCTCCAGCGTGTATCCAATTCTTAGGGGTCTGGCACCTGTAGCCAACATGGATCTGCTTCCCCAAATTTCCTTTGTGTTCTTCAGTTTTATCCCTTCACATGACTAGGCAAGCAAGTGCCCAAATGATGCTAAAGATATACTTTCAGCCCACCTGGTGTGCCCAGCTTGGCCTCAGATCTGTTCATTTTATCAGACCCACACTGCCTACCACGAGGGCCAAGACCCTACAGCTTCAGTTTTTTACTTCTTTTTTTTTTGTTGTTGAGATGGAGTCTTGCTCTGTTGCCCAGGCTGGAGTGCAGTGATGCGATCTCAGCTCACTGCACCCTCCGCCTCCTGGGTTCAAGCAATTCTCCTGTCACAGCCTCCTGAGTAGCTGTGATTACAGGTGTGCCACCATGTCCAGCTAACTTTTATTTTTTTTGAGACAGAGTCTCACTTTGTCACCCAGGCTCGAGTGCAGTGGTGTAATCTCGGCTCACTGCAACCTCGCCTTCTGGGTTCAAGCGATTCTCCTGCCTCAGCCTCCTGAGTAGCTGGGATTACAGGCGCCTGCCACCACACTTGGCTAATTTTTGTATTTTTAGTAGAGACGGGGTTTCACCATGTTGGTCAGGCTGGTCTTGAACTTCTGACCTTGTGATCCGCCCGCCTCAGCCTCCTAAAGTGCTGAGATTACAGGCATGAGCCATCGCGCCTGGCCAATTTTTGTATTTTTAATAGAGATGGGGTTTCACTATGTTGGCCAAGCTGGTCTTGAACTCCTAACCTCAAGTGATCCGCCGGCCTCGGCTTCCCAAAGTGTTGGGATTACAGGCGTGAGCCACCACACCCAGCCTTACTTGTCTTTATAAATCCACGAAGGCGAGGTGCAAAACAATGTGATAGTAACTACTTAAGTGCTCTGTGGCCCAGAGGGTCACTGGGACAGAATGGGCACACCAGGGGTGTTGGCATCTTCTAATAGCACCTACTGGGTGCCACGTATTGTGCTGGCCACTTGACCCAAATGGGTGGAGGCAGACCTCACCACAGCCCAGTAAGGGTACTCTTTTAAAAAAAATTTTTTTGAGACAAGGTATCACTCTGTTGCCCAGGCTGGAGTATAGAGGCTCAATCTTGGCTCACTGCAATCTCTGCTACCCAGGTTCAAGCGATTCTCATAGGCTTCAGCCTCCCTGCTAGCTGGGACTACAGGTGTACACCACCACACCCTGCTAATTTTTGTATTTTTTTGTAGAGAAGGGATTTTGCCATGTTGGCCAGGCTGGTCTTGAACTCCTGACCTCAAGTGATCTGCCCACCTTGGCCTCCCAAAGTGCTGGGATTACAGGCGTGTGCCACCGCACCCGGCTAATTTTTTTTGTATTTTTACTAGAGACAGGGTTTTGTCATGTTGACCAGGCTGGTCTTGAACTCCTGACCTCAAGTGATCTGCCCACCTCAGCCTCCCAAAGTGCTGGGATTGCAGGCCTGAACCACCATGCCCAGCATCTTCCCTGGGACTTTTGCTGTGCTAGGCTGTCCCTTCGGCCCACCCTGGCTGGGCAGGTGATGGGAGTGAATCACTCACCTGCTATGGGCTCTGACATCTTTTGAGACTTGCGCCCACTTAACTCCAGGAAGGAGTTGAGCCATGAGGAGGCACCCAGACGGAAGTCTCGAAGGAGCAGGGCTGTGTCCCGCCGCACCAGCCCTATCATGCCTAGGGCTTTCTGGTCTGAGTTGGAGTGGTCTTCTGTCTTTGCACCTGCAGAGTATATGTGGGGAGCTGAGTTGTTTTCCTCTCTTTCTGGGCCCAGTCTTAACACCCAGAACTTCAGGCATCTGTGGCCCCAGGGACGTGAGAATATCCAATTGCTTCAAAAGGGATAAGGAGTCTGGGCGCAGTAGCTCACTCCTATAGTCCTAGTACTTTGGGAGGCCAAGGCGAGAGGATGGCTTGAGCCCAGGAGTTCAAGACCAGCCTGGGCAACATAACGAAAAACAAAAATTAGCTGGGCGTGGGTATGGGCGTGGTGGTGCACGCCTGTAGTCCCAGCTACTTGGGAAGCTGAGGCAGGATGATTGCTTCAGCCTGGGAGGTCGAGGCTGCAGTGAGGTGTGTTTGAGCCACTGCACTCAGCCTGAGCGACACGAGACCTTGTCTCTCCCCCTCTCTCTCTCACACACACACACACACACACACAAAAGGGACAAGGAGTCTTGGATTCCTCTGCCTGGCCTCTCCTTCCTCAGTCACAGGAGTCCCGGTCCCCAGCCCATCCCTGCAGGACCCAGATATCCATGCAGTCCTGTTTCCCTGCTGAGGGTGTGGGCCTCACCAGCATAGGCACTGACACACTTGGAGAGCACGCTGAGGGGCAGCAGGGGGTCCATGAGGCTCAGCAGGCGGGAGGGAGAGGCGGCAGGCTGCAGCATTGTGGCCGGGTAGGCTGCCATGATGCCATCTGGCACCCGCACCCCGTAGGCTGCTGCCCGAAGAGCCACGGTGAAGCAGAGGTTCCCGCCTGCACTGTCCCCCGCAAGGCAGATTCGTTCCCCTGTTGAGCCTGGTTTGGGAGAGGGGTGGTTGGTTACAGCCTGGCAGGGGCAGGAGACTGGGGAGGGAGGGTAGGGAGGAACTCAAGCTGGGAGAACTGGGCTCTCCAAGGTGGGGTGTGGGGCATTCCAAGGCCTAGCAGACTGCAGTTTTTTTTTTTTTTTTTTGAGGCGGAGTCTCGCTTTGTCGCCCAGGCTGGAGTGCAGTGGCGCGATCTCGGCTCACTGCAAGCTCCGCCTCCCGGGTTCCCGCCATTCTCCTGCCTCAGCCTCCCGAGTAGCTGGGACTACTGGCGCCGCCACCACGCCCGGCTAATTTTTTTGTATTTTTAGTGGAGACGGGGTTTCATTGTGTTAGCCAGGATGGTCTCGATCTCCTGACCTCGTGATCCGCCCGTCTCGGCCTCCCAAAGTGCTGGGATTACAGGCTTGAGCCACCGCGCCCGGCCAGCAGACTGCAGTTTTAGAGACTGGCAGACTGAGGCACAGATTTGGGCTCATGTGGTAGACAGAGGATCAGGATGACTCAGGACCTGGAGGCGCAGGGAAGTGCTGGGAAAGTCTGTCGGGGCTGGAGATTGGGAGCAGCGAGGGCAGGTGGGGAAGGCGAGCCGAGCTCAGACCTGTTGCAGGAGGGGGGCCTCAGAGGATGGGAATGGAAGGTCAGGGTTCAGGCTCAGCACAGAGGGCCTGGGCTGCAGGCTCTGTGCTCTGGGGCATGGCCACACCCTGCTCTGTGCCTCAGTGTCCTCCCAAGATGCTGATCTTCAAAGAGGGAGGTCAGAGAAGCTGGACTGTGGGCCAGGAGGCTGGCAGGACAGGAAAGCAGGGCCTGGAGCTACCAGAGGGGGATGGCAGAGGCCCAAGGAGACAGGACGGTGGGTGGGAAGTGGAGGTGGAGGAGATGGAGAGTCTGGGTGCCACAGTCGGGGACAGAGGATAAACTGGCTGAGGCGGAAGATTGGGCAGGACCTGGGTGAGCAGGAGCTGGGAGGTGTGGGGGTGAGGAAGGTAGAAAGTGTGAGGCTGAGGCTGGAGGAGCTTGAAGCAGGCTGGGCAGGATGGGAGCAGATGCAGGTGGCTGTGGGAGTCTGAGGCTCACCAAGGAGGGCGCAGTGCTTGATGGCCCAGCAGTAGGCGAAGAAGCACTCCTCCAACGCACGGGGGAAGGGGGCCTCGGGGGCCAGGGAATAGTCGATGGAGATGATGGGGGCGCCCAGCTCCTGGGCCCAGCTCTTGAGGTAGGGCTCATGGGATTTGGAGGTCTGGGCCACGAAGCCACCGCCGTGGAAGTGCACTATCAGGGACTGCGAGCGGGGTGCCTGCTGGGGGCGCGGCCACAGCTCCAGGCTCCGTTGGCCGTTGGACTTTACCAGGCTGCTGAGCTCCTCACTGTCCTGGGGGTGAGGAGGGAGGTGGTGTGTGAGGTTGGGGAGAGCTGGCCAGGGCTGCACCCCTCCATGGGGATGCCAAGGCGGGGGCTGCCCGTGCTTCTCGGCTGTGTCCCTGTCCCTGGCTGAGGCTGAAACCCTACCTGTCCTTCACGCAGGTCGTAGGAGATGAGCCTGACTAGGACGGGCCCGGGGCCTGTGTGGGCCAGTGGGGGTGAGATGGTGACCGTGAGTGTGGGGTCAGCAGTCAGCGGCATCTCAAAGGCTTCGGGTGGCAGGCTGAGCAGGCGGCTTACTCTGACGGTGGCCGATGTCATGTTGGCCAGAGACTGGAGGGAGGGGACAGAAGGGGTGCTGGGGAGGGTCTGCCTGCAGGGGTGCCCTTCACCCCTCCCTCTGATCCGCAGTCTTTCCCCTTGTGTGCCATTCCTGGGCCTGGAGCCCCACAGAGACCTACTGTGGCCTCAGATGGGTCTCTGGGCCTCAGTGTCCCCATCGGTAACAGGCCCTCACCGATAGCACTTCCATCTCGGTGATGTTCCAGAAGGCTTTCCAGAAGTGCACGTCCAGGTTCTGTATGATCCGCTCAAACTCAGCCCCACGCAGCTCGGGGTCGATGGCAAAGCGGCCGCTGGTGAAGAGGGAGCTGGCGGCCACACCTGGGGTTCGGAAGGGGTGTCAGGGAGCCCCAGTGGGTCAGGCTACTTGGGCAGGAGTGGGGAGGAGGGCCAGGAGGGTAGGCTGCGAGTAGAACCCGGCTGGGACTCACTGAGGCCTGTCTCGTTGCGTTTGTAGTGCTCTCCGAAGGACACCAGCCCAATGGAGATGGTCTGCAGGAATGGCCGGATGGCAGGTGTGAACTGTGGAGAGACGCGGCTGCGTCACCCACCGCTCAGGAGAGGGATGGGGACAGGGCAGGAGCGAGGCACAGGGATGTGCAGGGAAGACACGTTCATTGAGTAAATGTTTCATGAGCTCCTACTGTGTGCTGGGCATAGCTCTCACCTGGTTCAAGGACCTGATGTTCTCAAACGGAAAACAAATGATCAGCAGACAAGCAAAGCCATGCACAGTATCAAAACAAGGAATGACGAATGGTTTGAGAAAAAAAAAAGGCAGTAAGTGGAGAGGACACGAGCGATGACTAGGGGTCAGGCTACTTAGCGGGTCTCAGAGGAGAGATCTGACTAAAGCGAGGGGAGGGTGTTCCCTGCACAGGGCACAGAGAGCGTGAAGGCTTAAAGGTGAGCTCCTAGGAGACTGAGGCAGGAGAATCGCTTGAGCCAGGGAGGCAGAGGTTGCAGTGAGTGGAGATCACACCACTGCACTCCAGCCTGGGCAACAGAGTGAGACTCCGTCTCAAAAAAAAAAAAGGTGAGCTCATGCTTGGTGCTTGACCTGGGTAGCGACAGCCAGGAGGCCAGTGTGGCTGGAGCAGAGTGAGCAGTGGGGAGAGGGGCAGGCAGTGACACTGGAGAGGCAAAGGGGGCTCATGCAGGTCCTGGGCAGAGGAATTTGGATTTCATTCTCAGTGCAGGGTGGTGCCACTGGTAGGCTGTGAGGTGGGGAGTAGGATGGTGCAGGGACTTCCTGAAAGTCAGAGAGAGGATGGATGGGGAGAGGGGGCAGCTGGAAGACAGGAACAGGGAGATGGCCAGAGACAGCCCCCCAGGCACAGGGACCTGAGGCAGAAAGACAGCCAGAGAGGGTGACTGAGGCCTAGACATGGGGCCAGCCGGCCACCACAGGGGAAGGGGGAGACAGCGTCTGACAGAGCAGACAGGCAGTTAAGGAAAGATGGTGGGGGCTGGGTGCGGTGGCTCATGCCTGTAAACCCAGCACTTTGGGAGCAGACAGGCAGTTAAGGAAAGATGGTGGGGGCCGGGTGCGGTGGCTCATGCCTGTAAACCCAGCACTTTGGGAGGCCTAGGCGGGCGGATCACTTGAGGTCAGGAGTTTGAGACCAGCCTGGCCAACGTGATGAAACCCCATCCCTATTAAACAAAATACAAAAAAAAAACACAACAAACCAAAAAAACACAAGACAATGGGGACACAGGATCAGAGGAAATGGAGCCACAGGAGGCCAAGGCAAGGGACTGGTGCATTCTTGTGTTCACTCTACACTGGCCAAGGTCCTACTGCATGCTAGACACCGGGCTGGTCCAGTGACCAAGACAGGGGAGGCCTCTGCCCTCCCAGAGGCTGACATTTTAGAGGGGAGACTGCCCTGTACCAAAGCAGAGCTGGGCCCTGCCCCTGGCCAGGTGCCCAGTAGGCCAGAGGGCACCTGAATGCCTGGCTATTATGGCTGGGATGCTGGTTCGGGCAGCCCCAGGATCTCTTTCTCATGACTCTAGGGTCACAGCTGGGACACAGGGAGGAGCTGGCTGGCCCAGCTGGGCTGATCAATACTCGTGGGTTCAGCCCTGGTGAGGGGAGGTTTCCAGGAACACCTGGGCTGGGTTGCTGAGAACAGGCTAGCCTGCAGGGAAGCCTGGAGACATGGGGTGGGAGGGGGAGGCTGAGGCGAGGGGAGGCCCAGAGAGGGCCAGAAAGACTACAGGGTCACATGGCTCCAGATCCCTCCCTGAGGGGTCTCAACCTCAAGTGACTTCAGGGGCCAGACAGGTAACAGAGTGAATGTATCTCCTGTGTGTAGGACAACAGAGAGTAGTGGATATCCTGGTGAAAAAGCTCTGCAAGTTGGATTTCTTACTACCCAGCAGATATGACCTAGGGCCCATGAGTTTGAGACCCCTGGTGCAGCTCTGTCTGAGCTCCAGCCAACTTCCCCTTTCTGTACCTGCTGTTTGCTGAGTCCGATAATGCTGACCACTGTGGTTACTTTACCATATTATAGGCCAGGCCAGGGGCCACCAGGTGCCTTCATCGTGGGCCCAGAGGGGCACGGGGCACGGGGCACGGGGCAGGGGGCTCACCTGGAAGCCCAGGCAGCGGCCATAGAAGCATCCCTTATGCAGCGTAACATACTCCCGGAGGAAGTCGGCGGTGAGCCCCTCGTCGCCCTCAAAGAAGAGCACCCCCGGCTGATTGGTAACCAGCAGGCGCTGGGCGTAGTAGACCAGAGCGCGGAGCTGGGTGAGGGCAGCCAGGTAAGCCTCCAGCTCGGCCAGGTTGTGGTTGGTGCGGAAGAAGATGCTGCGGCGGTTGGAGGCCACATAGCGGGATTTGTGCAGGAGGTGTGCCACGCAGCAGCGGGCTGTGTGCACCAGGCTGCGGTACCCATTGGCGGGTGTCTCTGGGTCCAGGTCAAAGAGGTGTGCCACACCCAGCAGGCGGCCCAGGGCCGGCTCCAGCCCCAGTGCCTGCTCCCGCACACCGGCAAAAACGCCTGACAGCCGCTGGGCGGTTTCCCCAGGACCCTGGCTCGAGAAGAAGGCTATGTTGTCCTCTGCCAGAGTCACCAGCGACTGTGTCATTGTGTGCAGGTCCATGTTGTAGATGAGCTTCGAGGCTGTGGGTAGGTGGGGAGGCCTGTTAGGCGGGGCTGGACCAAGCCTTGCTCAGCTGGAGCCCAGGAGTCTGGGCCATAGCTTATCCGCTCCTCCTTCAGACCCCAGCACTGTCTTATTTCAGTTCCAGGAGCCCAGGACCCCAGGTTCCTCCTCCTTTCGACACAAGAGGTCACCCTCTTGTCTCTAGGAATCAGAAGTTTGGGGCCCCAGTTCCCAGTGCCTTTGTCCCTCCTCAGGAGCCAGTAGTTTGGGCCCTCATCTCCTCCTCCCTCAGACTCAGGAGTCCAAGCCCCAGACCCTTCCTCTTCAGGATCCAGGAGCCCCTGCTGTCACCTCTTTGGGACTCAGAAACTTGCTGCCCTGGCCTCCTATCCCTCGGACCCAGGAATCCAGACATTCCCTGAGCCCACATGACTCTGCTTCCCTAACTCATTCATCTCTCCTATGATCCAGGAGGCTGCCAGTCCTTTCTTCCTTCCAGGGACCCAAGAGTCCAGGCACCTGTTTCCATGAACTCTCCTGGGGCCCAAGACTCCTTCTCCTAGATTCCAAGAAGTCTAGACCTCCAGTTGGTCCCCACTCTCAGGACCCATCCCATCTTTCCTTCTTAGGCCCCAAGTGCTACCCACAGGCCCTTCCCCTCCAACAACATTTGGGAGAGTTCAGCCCGAGTCCTCCCATTCCCATCTCTCCGGACCCTGGTCCCCAAGCGCAGCTCTCCCTGAACTCAGGAGTTCACAATTCTAGACTTCACTGATGAGTCATTCCTCATTCTTCAAGTCTGGCTGTGGAAGCCCCTCTAAATCCCAGTTCCCTCCCTGTTTCTCTGAGAGATCCCAAAAACTCAGTCTTGCTTCTCCCCCAGTGGGGTCCCCTGGCCTTCAGCCTTGTCCACGGGTCCTGGGTTGCATGGCCAGCCCTGCTCCCCTGCCTGGAACAGCGATACTCATCGCTGTTATCGACCTTGAGCATATCCGTGCAGGTCCCGGGCTGAGAGCTTTCTGTGTGTTTGCTGCTTTAGCGCGCTAACCCTCTGGGACCCATGTCACCTAGGTTCAAATCTCTATTGTTGCCAGCATCCCCATTTTACAGGAGAGGAAACTGAGGCTCAGGTTTTTTTTTTCTGAGATGGAGTCTCGCTCTGTCGCCCAGGCTGGAGAGCAGTGGCGCGATCTCAGCTCACTGCAAGCTCCGCCTCCCGGGTTCACGCCATTCTCCTGCCTCAACCTCCTGAGTAGCTGGGACTACAGGCGCCCACCACCATGCCCGGCTAATTTTTTGTATTTTTAGTAGAGGCGGGGTTTCACCATGTTAGCCAGGATGGTCTCGATCTCCTGACCTCAGATCTGCCTGCCTCAGCCTCCCAAAGTGCTGGGATTACAGGCATGAGCCACCGCGCCCTGCCGAGGCTCAGGTTTTAAGTGAGGAGGTTAAAGCTGCACTGCAAGTGGCAGAGCTTTTGTAAACCCAGCTATCTGAGTCCACAGCCACACTTACGTGGGGCTCCCCGCCAGGACTCTGGAAACCACATCTCAAAATTTGCCCTGGACTACGTCTGATTCACCACACTTCCCAGTCCCCAATGATCTTCCCTCTGAGATCCTTTCCCAGGCGTTCAGGCCGTCCTGTTTCTTGGATGCCTTGTCACTCAGGTCCTCAACAAGCTGCCGTTGGTGGAATGCTACCATCTACTCCAGGGACTTCCCTCCCAAAGCCCAGCAGCTTGCCTCTTCCCCTAGAAGAAGGTATTTCCTTTCCCTTCTAGGTCCTGGGGCCTGGCAGCGGCCATTCCTGTCTCTCAGCTGGCTGCACACTCACCCCTCCTAGGCATCTTCCGAGCTCCCCTGGGCTGAGACTGCTGGTGTGTGGCTTGTGCCAGTAGCAGCCTGGGGCTATAAACCCGGAGGCGGGGCTGGCCTGCCCAGGGTGTAGCCGCACAAGCCACCTCCCCCCATGAAAGATCAGTGAGGACCACGTGCTGTAAACAGAGTAGAGGGCCCAGCTCCCTGCCCTGCCCCCCACCTGCTCGCAGACTCAGCTCAACTGGTAGTCCTGCTACAGGCTCCTCTGCCTTAGAACCCAGGAGTCCACACCCACAGCCCCTCCTCCCTCAGACCCAGGAGTCCACAGCCCCAGCCCCTTCATCCTTTAGGACCCAGGAGTCCCAGCCCCAGTCCTGAACAAACTGTCCCCTCTCACCCAGCCAGGCTGCCCTCTCTCTCCCCAGAGAGGACTCAGGAAGCCAAAGGCCCAGTGATCTCAGCTCCCGCCTCCTAGTCTGGCCCTGGCACAGCCAGCCCCAGCTGTTGGGGGGAGAGAGGAGGTAGCCAGCCCTGCCTGTCCCTCCTGGAAGGACAAAAGCCGATTAAGGGCAGTGCCAGGCTCAGCTAGGGGCCTGAGCTGCCTGCTGGTCCTACTGGGTGGTTGAACATACTGGGTACCCTGGATCTGCCACTTACCCCTCTCAGCCCACCCTGCTGTGATTGGCATCCCCACCTCACAC